TGAGTCCAGACTGCAAATCTCCGGGGACCTGATTATACACACACACACACACACACACACACACACACACACACACACACACACACACACACACACACACACACACACACACACACTTCCTCTCCTCTCTTCTCCTCTCCTCCTTGTACAGGAGTAGTGCAGGTTTTTGGCTGTATATGGTTTTGTCTGCATGTCCTCAGGTCATTCATCAGCATTAAGTCAGAGGCAGTTTGTGTCTGCCATATGCACCAAAGCGGGTAGTCTTTCTTTCACACCTGCAACTTGTCCAGTGTTCATTGAGGACGTCAAGCAGCGGCTTCACCAGATGTTGGTCTGACAGCGTGACGTCAGTGAAGGGCAACACTCAGATGAAACATTTAATTAAAGGAGTTAGCTGGCATTTAGAGTGGAGTGCAAATGTTCTGAATGGAGTGAACCCACATCCTCCCTCTTAATAGATCACATACTGTATATCATATACATCACATTTCTGCTGATTATTTTCCAAAACTTATTAGTTCTGAGACAGACTTTAAAACTTTTGGCGACAATTTAAGACAATTTTTGTTATCAAGCAAGTGTAACCACTGGCGGAGTGTAACCACTTCTTGATGAACATCAGTCTATTAGACGCTCAGATACGCAGCATATCTACCTCCTGTTAACAACAAGACTAGATATGTATGACAAATTGTTTAAGTAATAGATTTTTTGAACTTTGGTGTGAACTAGACTAAGCTAAGCTCATCACTTCCTGTCTGTACTTGATGCACGGATATCAGCAATACTGTAAGTAGAGATATAGGTTGTGAAGAGGAGCATTTCTGAGGTTTCTTTTCGGTAATTAGCTTTCATCTCTGCTCTGTACGTCGCTCTTCATAATGTCCTGTGACTTGTCGTTACCAGTTATAGTTTAAAAGCCAAAACCAAACAGCATCTACTTAGTAAAGTAGCAGTAATCCTGTCAATGTTTTCTTAATTGTCCAATAGCGATCTGAAAAATATATTTATCGGACAGCCTTGCCTCAGATCCATACACCGAACACACACCTGTCCATATACACGTTGATATCGATTATTCATCTCTGTGAGTGACCGATCAAGTGGTTAATTGACCGATCGATGAAAGAGCGTTATTGATCACGTGTCATGGTGCTCCCATCATTCAATAGCAGCTTCTCATTTATCATGTAGCCTACATCTGCAACAGTTTCACCATCAATTGATAAACAGGATGAGATGGCAACTCAGATGGAAAACACAGTGTCCTGAGTGCATGAAGTGATAATATGTTGAAAGCATCTAACAGTGATTTAATAATGAGTACAAATATACCAACATGTTCACTTCTTTCTCATTAATCACGATCGTGCAGTGGCTCCCAGGTGTCACACTTTCCCATCTGAAGGCCAACATTGCATTTCCAATTCCTGTCCATGAATTGTTCAAGGACCATCTCATGTCCTCTGGCAGATGAACTTTGTAGATGGCTCCCTCAGGAGAGGGAGAAGTGCTACTATGGTACAATCAGATTTCGTTCATGATGTAGCTTGAATGAAAACTGCTGAAGCTATTCAATTTCTTCTGATGAGCTGACGTCTGCGGAGGCTGTAATCAAGGTCTCTGCTCTGTTGTTGCCATCCAGGCGTACAGCGTTCAGTTTGCTTTGCGGTCTTTTATTTATTACCCCAAGGTCTGGTTCTGCAGTGTGAACAGAGAGCGGACAAACAGGAACATGATGATTTTTATGCCTCCGTGCCGAGAGCAAGAGCCGTGGCCAGAGGCTTTATGTTGCTGGGTTGTCCGTCCGTCCGTCCGTCCGTTCTCATCTCAGGAACACCGTGAGGGAATTTTCTTCAGGTTTGGCACAAATGTTGGCTTGAACTCAAAGACGAACTGATTCGATTTTGATAGTCAAAGATCAATGTAACCGTGACCTCATGTCCTTCCCATCCTTCTGAATGCGATATATACAGTATATATATATATATATATATATATATGCGATATATCAACAAATGCCTGGAGGGAATTTCTTTACATCTGGCACAAACTTGGACTCTGAACTGATTACAATTTGGTGGTCAAAAGTCAAGGTACTTGTGACCTCACAAAACGCATCTTTGGCCATAACTCAAAAATTCATACAGTAGTTATGACAATGGAAACAGGATAAAATGATTGAGTGATGACATTTTATATCAAAAGAGAGTCAAAGGTCAGCTTCACTGTAACATCATCATGTTCTGCAAATACATTTAATAGCTTTCATTTAATTCTTTCAAACTCAAGGTGTATTATTGGTTGGTGTTTGTTGGTGGATTCTGATTCTAGTTGAATTGAAGCTGAGACCATGAAGAAAAACCTTTTTGCATATGTGATTTATTCACGTTTAATTTCACAACTGTGCATACACTCACAAAGCCTGAGTGATTTCATTCGTGGAGTGACATTTAACTGAACTTTTTTATTTTATGATATTGTCTGCTATTTGTAGGGTGAAATGAAAAGTCGTGAATTTACAGTTCTCTTTTATAAACCAATTCTTAATGTCAAGACCTGTACTATTTAATCAGGGTTTCCGATGGCGCCTACAAAGTTCTGTTTTTTTGTTCAGTTTCTAAAAATGCTTAAAAATGACATTTTTCAATGTCAACTTGTTTTTTTTTTTTCAACAAAAATAATTCCAGCTTGTCTCTTATGTTTTTAAAGACAGCACTACATGGACGACACTTTGGAACATGTAATTTATCCACTCAGATGACACTGTATCAAATTTACCTGCATACATATGTGGTGTTTTTTTCAGTTTTTTTGCTATTGTAATGCCACCATAAAACACCTGCAAACTCAGGTCATAACCACACGCTCTACAGTTGCACACAGACACAAGTCAGCAATCATTACATTGCTTAAAGATGGGGATAACAACATACACTTTCAGACAGGAGGGAGGTGTCTGAAGCTACGTGTAGTTCTGCTGGAGTATACCGGCGTATGAGCAGATGAAAAACACTGGAGCCTGATTTGAAACCAATCTATAAGTTTTATGGCTCATGGCTTCAGCTGCAAGTGAAGCCATGAGCAAGCATTGTTCTGTTTTTTTCTGTGTACGTCTCATCAACAAAATTGGAACGGCGGTAATTAAGTCTGAAAGCAGACAAACAAGGTTAGAGAGAGAGGGAGGACAACAGAGCAGAGACAAACAAACCTGTAAATAAAAATGCCTTTCAATATTTATCTTAAAAAAAAAAAAAAATCAGCTGTGGACAAACCAATCTCAACTCAAGATCCACTTACTCACTTTTGTGCACATTGAAAAGTGTTCGTAATGAAAATGGGGAATTTTACGCCAGTTAACTGTCAAGAGGATCAGTGGCTACACACACACACACACGCACACACACACACACACCCACACACACACACACACACACACACACACACAGACGGACTTTGCTACCACAACTGGATGCTGTCAATTTGCTCTCCACGCTGTCTGTCTGTCTGTATGACAGTAAAGAGCTATTAGTGAAGGAGCCGGTATCAGATGCAGATGTGGGCTGAATGTTGGGAACTATCAGTCCTCCTCTGCTGTAGCTCAGCCGCAGGTGCACCACACTGTTCGTGCACGCATGCACATACACCTCCCTGCTCATATTCCTCACGAATCCCATGGAAAATAAATGGTGGCATCAATCATACAGGAGAGCAAGGAGAGAGAAAAAGACAAAGTGATGGTGAGGGAGTCGAGGCACAGAGAAAGGCAAACTAAAGCAGAGTCAGAGACGTGGAAGATGGAGACGGGGAAAAAACAAAGAGCATAAAAGATTAAAGAGAAAGTCAGACAGAGGAGGGTCTGGGAAGGAGGGGAACAAGGCTGGAACACATTCTGTACATAGCAAACAAACACTGATCTGCGAAGACCATAAATATCAGAAAGGCAGATGGCAGCTTTAAAAAAGAAAACAGTTCAGAGATACTCTGAAGAACAGCAGGCTGGGGCTTCTAGCAAGTGCATATGTTGCCTGGAAGCTGCCTTATGAATCTTAATTTGTATTTGCTCATTAACCAAGTTACCATATGACTTACAAGGCACTGAGTGGTTTCCTTGTGGGCAGCAGAGGAGGGGTATTTTGGGTCATTCAGGCATTAAGGAGGGCTCTGATTGGCCTTGCCCAAGACTAGAAGACTGACGCAATCTGTGTAATTTATTTTGTAATTAGAAATAATGTTTTATGGAGATTTATTCTCCGAGTGCATCACTGTAATCATCAAAACCTCTGCTTTGATAATGAGAGGAGTTTCAGTATTACTGTCATTTCTAGAAGCATCACACCCTGAAAATGCTTCTTTTTTTTATTGCTGATGAATTATTATTATATTTTTCTTAATTTGAGAAAAAGACCCTATAAGACTTGTTTGTGTGAATGACGACAGCCACTGCAGCAGATGCCAGAAAAGATGTCACTTATTAAGTCAAACTTCATCACAGGCAGTGGAAGCTCAGGTGGTGTACTGGTCATTTGATGTTTGTACGGTTGGTGCTCCTTGAGAGAGAGAGAGAGAGAGAGAGAGAGACCCCGAACCTGAAGTTGGAGGCAAAACTTCTCATTTCCTTTGGACAATATCATCATAGCCTTCAGCGCCAAGTCACCACGGTAACAGTAAGATAATAAAGCTTGTAGAAGCTTTTATCAACGCTTGGTCTGATCCTAATGATGCCTGTAACAGTTTGATTCCTGCTTAATGTCGCCCTGCAGAGGAGAAATAGTCACATCATTCTGTAGTTTGCTGGTTCACTCTCTGATATTCTGTGTGTGTGTGTGTGTGTGTCGCTGCGATGTGTGCATGACCAGAGCTAATGAGCCAAAACCTGTTATTTAGTGATTAAATATTGTTTATTACGCAAAGCTGATTTTTGTGTGTGTGTGTGTGTGTGTGTGTGTGTGTGTGTGTGTGTGTGTGTGTGTGCGCGTGCCTGCATTTTGTCTCCACAGGTTTATCCTGGTGTTTGGATGTTTGGTCCTCTCTGTGTTTTCTACCATCCCTGCTCACCAGGAATTCTCCTCACACTGTCTGCTCTTCTGGGTAGGACATACACACACACACACACACACACACGCACGCACATACACACACATTCACAGTAAGTAAGTAGGAAAGTTAGTGTGTTCAATCAAGATGGGCCTCCCAGAGAGAGCTTACTGAGTTCATATTATTCCGCACTGATGAATTATGAAAGTGTCACATGGTTAAATAGATAGTACGCTATTGAACGTGTGTGTGTGTGTGTGTGTGTGTTGCTGAGTGATACTCATGTCTGCATTAGAAGTGCTGATTATGCATCAGCAGCACGATAATCAACTGTAATGATTGGTTCCTTGCTCCAGGAGATCAAAATCACGCTGTTATAAATCAATTTAAGTTAACAGGCGGCGTCTCAGATGTGATTAAACAGACGATCATCAGTCAGAGCAGGTAGGCAAAAAAAACAAAACAAAACAAAGCAATGCAGCACAAATAAACTGGAAGTGTGGGTGGAACAAAAAGTGACACGTCTCACTCAAGTACATGTGCTTCTTGAAGATTGATACCACTTTCATATCTGTCTATTAAACATGAAGTGACAGCCAGCGTGCCGTTAGCTTAGTTTAGCTTAGCATAAAGACTGAAAGCACAGTGTAACAGCTACCCTGACTCTGTCCACAGGTAAACGCACTCAGCCTACCAGCAAGTTCACTAATGAAGCTGTGATGTTTTGTTAGTTTGATCACGGGACTTCTTTTTGTACGGATTAAACAAACAGGATAAAACTTAAATATATAAATACTGTGTCTTCATAGTTAGACTAATAGTAATATTTAGGAAATAATATTATGCAATAAGCCTCTAGACTTAAACTGTCATAGCAGGAAAAGCACAAGTGTAACTAATAACAGTAACGATGGCTCCGTTCCACTGAAGTGTCGCAGTAAGTCAAGCTGGTGAGCCAGCATGTGTAATAAGGAGGGGGGGGGAACTGGCACGCCTAAATGGAATACAGTTATTATTAATGTTGTTAATTATTCCTGTGCCTTTCCTGCCAGGGCTCGACTAAATATGACTTAAAAACACACTCAAAAAAATGTTCTCAAGTACGATACATGTAGATAGTTTTGAGTGGTGAAGCCGCATTAAGGGCAAACTTATAGCAACAAACTGAACTCAGTCCTTGACCCTTTGCTACGACTGTCTTTAGTGTCTGTGCCTGTGCATTTCTGTCATTTTAAGGTTTAGAATATGTGGGGTTTTTTTTCTGTGTGTGTGTGTGTGCGTGTGTGTGTGTGTCTTGCAGGAGTTTGTGATGATTGTAGTGTTTGGTCTGGAGTACATCATCAGGATATGGAGTGCTGGCTGCTGCTGCAGATACCGAGGCTGGCAGGGACGCCTCCGGTTCGCCAGGAAACCATTCTGTGTCATAGGTAGGTGTGTGTTTGTCTTTGTGTGTGTGTGTGTGTGTGTGTGTGTGTGTGTGTCACATTGTTAGACATAAAAAAAAAAATCAAAGGTGTCTCAAAGTCAGATGACAAAAGTCATGTCTATATGATTTGATTTGATGTCACTGAAGTTTACATTGACAATCAAGAAAACTACAGATTAAATGATGTAGACTGGTATCATCCTGTCTGAGTCAAGGGTTGTAATACATCTAGTGGTTCTAGTATCATCATCTTCAGGTAATGATGTTATTGGCCAGTATGGATAAATTCTTTTTTCAAACATTTCCTCTTCAGTGTCCAGTTGAAGTAACTGATATTAAAACAGCATTAAAAAGCCATCCATTTAGAGGACAGTGGCTCTCTGTCCTTCTTGCTGGGAAATACAAGAGAAGAAAACGTGGGGTATTTGAGGGTTGCAGACAGAACGGCAGAGAAAGACTAATAGAGACAGAAACGGAAACAAACAGCTTGTAGTGAATCAATACTTGGTTTAAAGGTGATGGATGGGCAGATAATAGGTGAGTCAAACACAGTTCCCTTTACTAATGTTGCGCAACCTGTGACCTTTAATTTTCACTCTTTTACTCCCCAGACATCATTGTACTCATCGCCTCCGTTGCCGTGGTTTCAGCCGGTAGCCAGGGCAACATCTTTGCCACCTCTGCGCTGCGTAGCCTTCGTTTCCTTCAGATCCTGCGCATGGTGCGCATGGACCGCAGGGGAGGCACCTGGAAGCTGCTGGGGTCTGTGGTTTATGCACATAGTAAGGTAGGACATTTTTGAGGTCTGATCGGTGTCTGAACCTTTGAACGTTAATTTTGGGGTTGAGATATTTAAAGTGGAAATCAGCCAGTGCGGTGGTGTGTCTACAGTGCAACTCATAGAGGTGCCTGTCCGTGGTACTACGGTGTCTTTCCCCTTGGATTTTCTGTTTACCTAAATCATCCAGCTGGTGGTTTTTGTCTGTTCAGTCAGGGTAGACTTCATGTGGACTGTTTGCCCGGGAGCAAAGACTCTGTTTACAACAGCGAATTTCATGATTTCATGACTTATTGTTTATCCATACAAACACACAGCAACAGTGTTAACCTTTGAGTCTGTTTCAAATACATGGAAATAAAAGACATAATAATTAAGTTTAAATATATGTTACAGCGTTGGTACGTTTACTAGAAAGTTCAAAGAAACTGGTTTGAAAACATGGTTTTCAGCCACTTCATGGTGTCAGTGTGGTATATACAGTATATCAGTATAATATATTACAATTGCCATTTTAAAATAATATCCTATGTATTGTTGGAAGTTTTACACGTTGCATTCAGTGTATCTGCTGCTAGTTTTAAGTTCCCATTGCCACAGGTACAGGTGAGACTCTATGTGTCTCATGTACGTGTCTTAAATTGAATTTTAAGATCAAACAGGTAGGCAACAGAAAGTACTGAACAAAGCTTTACATTTATATATGATGGTTTGATCTGTGTGTGTGTGTGTGTGTGTGTGTGTGTGTGTGTGTGTGTGTGTGTGTGTGTGTGTGTGTGTTCTGTAGGAGCTGGTGACTGCCTGGTATATTGGGTTTCTGGTGCTAATCTTCTCCTCCTTCCTGGTTTATCTGGTGGAGAAAGAATTCAACAAGGAGTTTGCCACCTATGCTGATGCTCTGTGGTGGGGCACGGTGAGCACACACTCATTACACGACGCATAGAACATACTAAGCACACACATGCAGTTTGTCTCTTAAAAGCCATAAAATGGTAGGGATTTTAGATTTTGTGTGATTGTATATATGAATGACGCTCTTTGTGGATGAATCTGAAAGACCACATTGTTTTTGTGGCTCCTTAAATACAAATCTCAGGTTTTTAGGATTTAAACAACAACATAGTTTTGAAGTTTTACCCTCTGAAAAGAAAGTACAACTGCCCCTTTAATTGTCTGACAACAGTGATATATTTCGATTTACAGTTTCTGTGTGACCTTAATGCAACCTGCAATACAAAACCCAACAGAAATGGGCCTTTGAAGTCACACTTGGCCAGCTGTACTGCACTGTTTCCTCCTACATCTAAAACCCATTACATCTGGAAAACGTGGAAATAGACAACACACAAACAACGGAAGGCCTAATCAATAAATTCAATTTTCTCCTGCAGCCAGGAGAGACTGGCCTGTTAAGCTTGTGAATTGACACTCAGACACACTGTGTTCCTACGTTCAGTGGCCTTGGAGCATCTTTCTTTCTCTGGTGGACACTAAAAGCTATTATATCATTTTTAGCCTCAAAAAGCTTTAACATGTATGAGTCAACACAAAATTTGAGAAGGGAACCATCACCAGTGGGAGCTGAGATTTAGAAAATACAATCCAGCATCCATATAAATCTGGATTATACACAGTTTGTTAGATTCTGACAATATTTGTGTTTTGCATTTGTGCATCTTTTATTTAGTGTTTTTACTCAACACTTAAAATGGATATAAACAGTTTTAAGACATCTGTTGAATTGTGTGCCATTGAACAACTGTCCCGTTTTTTCTTTGGCTAGTGTAAACTTGGAAAGCACTCGAGGTGAACAAACTAATTAGATAAAACGGTGTGGCTAAATTAAATGTCTAAACAAAAGTCTAAACATGAGACTTAGACACTCTCCTCTCTTATTACCTCACGTCTTTTTCGCTCTGATGATGGAAGTCTAGAAATTTGTGGAGCAAAAGCTTCAGTTTGTTAAATGTAGTAAAAGTCAATGGACAGCTGCAAGAAAAACAACTAGCTTGTGAATGAGACGCTGAAGCTTTGTATAAATTTGAGTTGAGGAGTTGAGACTAAGGATGGTTATTGCTCAAATATACACCGACTTTATGTGTGTGTTTCAGGAAGATGGTCAGCCTGATGCTCGTGTTTCCATCTGCATTAGTAGTAGTTGTGCGATTTCATCCACATACTCCTGCACAGTGTCTGCTCCCTGTTTACTACACAGTGCTCTATATAAGTATTCGAAACCACAATTTACTGTTCACTTTAGAATAAACGGTCAAGTGTCTGTTATATAGGGAGTAGTGGATGAGTCAGGGAGGGACAGACAAGCCCTGGTTACCTGAGTGTCGACCTCTGACCCTTCAGATCACTCTTACAACCATCGGCTATGGTGACAAGACCCCTCAGACATGGACAGGACGGTTGTTATCAGCCGGTTTTGCTCTGCTGGGGATTTCTTTCTTCGCCCTGCCAGCTGTGAGTCAAACACATACACACACTATAACACCATGACTGATGGCATTTATTTCCTCACAACTTCGTAAAGCTAATGCTAACAGGAGTCAGGGACCATGTTATATATTTGGTGAATTTTCTGCAAGTGTAAAACTCAGTATGTGTGTGTGTGTGTTTGCATGAAGGGCATCCTTGGTTCAGGTTTTGCCCTGAAGGTGCAGGAGCAGCATCGACAGAAGCACTTTGAAAAGAGGAGGAACCCAGCTGCCAGCCTCATCCAGGTAGACACATACACACTTCACCTTTACTGATGTTTTTTGCAGCAGCTGAGGACCAGTGTGAATACAGAAAATTTTCTCTCTTTTTGTGTGCACATTTTCATGTATGTGTGTCTGAATAAAAGCATGAGTGTGTGTGTCCACTCTTTACCCTTTTCATGAGTGTGTTACTAGTATGCTGAAGTGTGTGCATGTGTGTTTTTACCATCTCTCCTCCTATCAGAGTAAAGGTGTCTCATTAAGGGTTCACTTAATGGGAGTGTGTGTGTGTGTGTGTGTGTGTGTGTGTGTGTGTGTGTGTGTGTGTGTGTGTGTGTGTGTGTGTTGCCTATCTGCACTGTCAGGGCGTGTAGCTAATGATGGCTAACAGTGTGTAAGCCACACTGTCGGCTCTCAGGTCCAACAGCAACGCATTCTGCTGGGATTTATGAGCCGTTTCCATGGCAATCATTCCCTGGGCAGACGCTCCTCCAAAGTGTCACTCATTGTAATAGACAAGACCAGCTGCAATACCTTCTAATGAATAATAAATATCTGCTGTGGATTATCTGTGCCTCTGTATGTTTGCATGTATTTGTCAATCTGAGAATGTGTGTGTTTGTTTGTATCTGTGAGTGTGTCTGTTCTGTATACTTCTTCTCTACATTATGTCCGAAAGAAAAATCCAAAATTTGGCATAGATTCGGTCATCATTTCTATCAGATATGATAACATAATACTGACTTTATTGTCAAAATATGGGGCTGTAGTATCTGGTGTACCAGCTGTTTGACGCGGCTTTATCAAGGACTTTTTCGAGCAATCACTCAGAATTCAAGTCCAAATCTTCACAGTTAACCCAGTTTTCAAAACTACATATTTGGAAGTGGGAATAATCCTGAAAATCTAAATTATTACCCAAAATGTCTGTGGTAAATTATTGCATCTGTGTCCTAATGAAGAGGTTTCCAGACTGAATATGTCACATATATCATAATCCACTCAGTTATTTAATGGAGCTATCAGGTGATTCCTAATAAGTCAACTTGTAAAAAAAAGATATTTAATCATGTAAATATGTCACTTGAACTACACCAATGGAAAAGCCTTTGCAGGGTGTCATTAATGGAAACCATAAGTTTCATTGTTTGTCTCAACACCCTGTGCATGTTGTTAAACGTGGGGTTTGCTCGCCACAATTTCTCAAATGCTTCGTGTGTCTGACGGCAACTTCTTAGCAATAAGCCTGAAAATCTTTTCGTTACAGCTACTTCTTCACTCGACCTTTACCTAATATATTTATTTAAGTAATGGACATGTTTGCATTGTAGTACAGCGGTTTATTTTAGAGGACTTTAGGGGTGCATTTACTCTTGTTTCACTTCCAAATAAGAGGTTTAGAGGATATGGGTAAAGTGGAGATTTGTTTAAAACCTGTCTCACCATGTGTTGCTGGATTCCCAGATCTCACAATGACATTGGTGAGATATTATGATACATATTTATGTGAATAATTAATTAAATCTAAATTTGTTTTGTCTGTCCTCCCTGTTATCAATACATATTAGTTTCCTACACTAGACAAAGACCAGTTGGAGCCCAATTGATCTTAAATAACCCACTAAGGGAGCAATTAATCCTGCATGTTTTGATCTTCTTTCTGTTTCATTGGCTTTGTATCAAGCACCTGGTCACTGTCTGTTGTCTGCCAAGCTCATAACATTTTCCTCAACAGGTAAAAGGAAACTTGGAAGCAGTTTGATGTGTTAAATATGTGGATGACATTACTGTTCTATCCGTCACTTCACTCCCCCATCTCACACAGCTCTCCCTGCTGTAAACCACTGTGTGTAATGTGTGTCTCTGTCTGCGTGCAGGGCAGGATATTAACACTGTCTTCAAGCCTCAGCAGCTGGTCAAATCTAAATTTCACTTGACGCAATAACTATTTTGTCTCCCACCTGTAATTTTAGACCAAGATTGAATCTCCACATGACTTTAAAGTAGACTTTGGAGTAGTATAACAGAGAGCAGCCAAAATTGACCAGCATTTGGCAGGTGGCTGGTGTTAATTTCCCACCCTGTCTGTGTAGTGTTTATGTAAAGGCTTTCCAGTCATGTCACAAATCTTGTAACCACACCTGGCACCATCACAGAGGTTCAGTTTGCTGCGAGTAAATAATGGCTTAAGATGTAAAGAAAACAACCAGTTAAAATGATTGTGGTGGATGTAAGTCATTTCTGCAGAATGGAATAATCAGATACATCTGTTTCCAAATGCGCATTACTGCTGAGTTGCACTAACATACATGTGCAAACGCAACTCTGTATATACAGACGTGCAATAAGCCACCTGGCACCACTACCAAAGCGCCCTCCCCCCCTCAGTGTGTCCATTTTTTTTTTACTATATCCAGCCATTTACTCATCTTTAGCTTGGGTCAAGGCCTCAAAATACACTTGAGTTGCATCTTACGCAAACTTAAATATTTTTAGCTACATAACTGGATCATCAATCCATTGTGCAAAACTAACATACAACTAACTGTGCACATCTAATTCTAACCCATACATCACAGCCATTGTTTAAAGGAGCTATTTAAGTTTTGCTATTGCTACAGAGCCAACGTTAGCATTAACTGCTGTTACTTACCAGTCGAGAAGAAACATTGTAAGTTCAGCATCAAACTTCATTGGAAACCAATGCTTTTGTTTCGCTTCTATTTCTATCACTTCTTTTCTTTCGCTGAAGTTAGCATGCTAACCAGCTAGCCCCGGCCTGGTTGGCCCTGCTCATCACTTTCCGATACTGAGTCACTGTAGCCTCCAATCCGTCCTGATCTTACACACAACAATGGCTGAAGCTTTCAGCAAGACCAGTAAGTAAACAGATGTTAATGCTAACATTGGCTATGTAGCAAAACTTGCAAATAGCTCCTTTAACTCAGAAATAGTTATTGAAAATTTGACTGGTTTTGGCTGGATTTAAAATGTTGCCTTAAATGGATGTACGTTTTAATAGTCACTTTACAAAGAAGGCTTGCTCACATTTACGATTACGATTATTCATGTCTGATCTCCCACCACTATGGTTTAGTGTTTGGTTGGGTTTGGGCACAAACGCTGCTTGATTAACGCTGGGAAAGATGGTGGTTTCTCATGTCCAATCATGCACTTGATTAGTTCCCATTTACAATCCACTCTTCATGGTCATTTTGAGGACCTCCAATATGGCTGCCAGCTGGTTACATCGCCTCATTTATGTTACATGTTCTCATAAATCTCAGTCCCTTTTTCCTCACCATGTTTGTGCCATTGCCCTTCTGTGCCATGTATGTGTGTTTGTGTGTGTGTTTGTGAACATCTGAATGTGTGCGCGCGTCCTGTCCATCTCTGCTCCCTCCCCCCACCCAGGCGGCTTGGCGTCTGTACTCCACCGACGGTTCTCGTCCCTACCTCAGAGCCACCTGGCACCACTACCAAAGCGCCCTCCCCCCCCTCAGGCATGTATCCCCACCACCACCACCACCACCACCACCTCCACGAGCACCACCGTCACCGCCCCAACTCCCCTCCAACAAGCCCCAATCACAATGCATCAACACTACCCAAAAAACTAATCTGCTTCTTTTTTTTTTTTTTCCTCCTCACTTTCCTTCTCTCACTTCCTACTCAACTTATACGTTCCTCCCTCACCCCCTTTTTTCTCCCACACTTTACCCCATTAATTGTTTCATTTATCATTATTTCATTTATCCTGTTGACTCTGCACGTAGTGTGTCTGGCGTAGTTATGCTGCTGATGAGAACTCGGTTTCCATTGCTACCTGGAAGCCTCATTTGAAGGCGTTGCATACCTGCAGCCCCGCCAAGTAGGTAACAACTTACAGACTTACAAACATGGCCGCTGCTGCTCAGCCCTTCTCCTCGTCTCTCCTCTTCACCTGGTGTCTGCTCGACTTCATCTGCGTAGCTTCAGCTCCTCTTCCATTTTTCCATGTTGTAACTCAATGTTATGCAGCATTGTAACCTTTATTAACCTTTTTCTCCTAATCAGGGATGTTTTCCTAAGCATGCATGGTCTTTAACACCCGTTTCACATTCAGGCAGATATTCACACCTTAGAGCTTCCTCAATTCCACATCAGCAGTTGGTGGTTAAATGACTCGCCCTAAGGCACACGAGAAGTTGCTGAGGTATTGTTGATTTCACTGACAATCCTGTAAATGGTCATTAATTTGGAAAATTGTGTAAGTTTTATAAATGTTTGCTGTGGAAAACAGTCACATGCCAGTAGGGTTAGGTTTACAAACAGAATGTGCCAGCAGAGGTCAATTCAACGTTAACAAACGAAAGTGGAGATTTCACTATTATTTTTGATACTATATCACTGTAAAAAACAAAAATCATGAAGTGCCTTTGATTCTCCATTGGCATTTGACACACACACACACACATGCCACATGATTCGGGTTTTAACTGGCTTCAAGCTCATTAAATGTTAAAGTGATTGAAGCTTGGGTCAAGTTAAAACAAAATCCATCCAATTTGGGCCATCACATACACACACACATACACACACACATACACACACACACACACACACACACACACACACACACACACACACACACACACACACACACACACACACACACACACACACACACACACACACACACACACACGCCTTTCTGATTTCCGTGCCTGTCTTTCTTTCAGCTAACGCTTAGCCTTACTGTGCATGGCCATAGATTGCATGTGCTTGGCAAATAATTAACCCTCTTGAATGAAAGTTTCTTTCTTTTCGCTTCCTTTTGGCTTGATGCTTCCCATATCCATTCATGGAAACGTCTGTACAAAGCTATTTTAATCTGCTGGAATACTGATTTCTCTCCCTTTGTCTCCTCCTCTTTATCCCACTAACCCTTGAAGGAAAGAGCAGGGCGAGACTACTTACAGGTTTGTATGACTCAGCTCATTCCTCCAAAGACACAAACACACACACACACACACACACACACACACACACACACACAGGCAACATGTGATGCAATTATAATTAGATTATATACCTAATGTTTTGTCATAATATCTTTGCAACTGCGAAATCTGGTTTGCAGGCTTTCTTAGCCCAGTTTTTTTTTAGTTCCTTCATCGTTTTACAAACTGGATTTCTCATATTCTGGACGTGTCCAATGATGAATGAATGAATATATTTATCTGTTTGTTTGTTTATTGACATTTACCAGGTCATTTTGAATGGTTAGTGAAGATTGCAGTTGCCATGAGAGGGTTGGGCCACATTGATTGGTTGTTTGTTCGCTGCTTGGTTTACCAATTGATTAATTTTGCGAATGACTGAACCCTTATTTACCCTTTAGAACTAATTGTAAGGTAGAAAATGGAGGCAGCCATGACATTGTTTGGACTTGTGCTTATTTAACCCAGAATCAAAGTAGAAAAGAAGATTAAAACTGAGAGACTTTACACTACAATGCTGTGTCATGAAAAATAAAAGGACAATTAGCATGTGCTTCAGAATAATTGCTGATAGTTGAGCAATAACAAGGCTGATGTGTCGTGATAAAAGGAAACCAGAGGTGTCAGGTCAACATTTGTTTACCATTTGAGTAACACTAGAAAGAAGGGCAGCTAATACATTCACTCAAGTGCTCTGCTGAAGTGCAGTCATCGATTTGAATCCTGTTGGAGTGAGAAAGACAGAGAGCAATAGACACAGTGATGGAGACAGTAAGTGTTTTTACGTCACACACAGGTAGTCGAAGCTATACAGCAAATAAATTACTCCAAGAACTACTTTCAAATGAGCCCGTGTCTGCTGCCTTTCGCAGATTTCGTCTCTCTTTTTTTTAATTCTATGTTCCTACCTCACTTTTCCAACTTTTTCTTACGTCTCTATCTCTGATTTTGTGTCTCATCCTCCTTTCACTGCTGTGTCTCTCTCTACACTTGACTCTCAGGCAGAGGAAGGGTTGATGGGCTTCTTTGTCTTTTCGGTCGGCGTGAGTGTGTGTGTGTGTGTGTGTGTGTGTGTGTGTGTGTGTGTGTGTGTGTGTGTGTGTGTGTGTGTGTGTGTGTGCATGCACACACGCCTTCAAAGACAGGAGTCTGTACCATGTCTGTACCATGACGCACTTTTTCCATTGGGATGGTATTTATATAACTCATCAAACACAAGTCTAGGAGAGACAGAGCGAAGTTGAAAAGGGGGAGAGGAGAGAGAGGGGAGGGGAGATAGGGGATTTCAGAGAGGGGAGGAAGACAGAGAGAGATTTGTGAGTTTAATTATGCTAGTATAGTTTTTACAGTGCAGCGCTTCTTTGGCAACATTTGGGGGCCTTATGTTGAGCCAGCAGCGTCGTAGGCATTTAAACTTAAGACAGTCACACACACAGATATATATATGTGTATATATATATATATACATATATATATAAAAAGAAGTTTGTTCTCTCAGTCAGAAAACACAAGCAAATGTGCTTCTCATCCTTAAACAAAACAGCTTTTAATTATGCTTTGTTGCTTCCACAACAATATTTATGCCCCAGAAATCCTTCTGTTTAAAGGGCTGCGTTTAATTAGGCTTTCCCTCCTTAGAAACTTTTGTTGCAGCAAGTCCAATTTACACTTGTGAAATCATAATTACGCGCACTTTTATGATGCCATTTCTTTTCTGTATGTTCCCTTCCACCAAGACAGCACAGAACACTCTGTGTTATTAGTGGTTTTACAGACTGTCGGCTGCTCGGTGGTGGTAGGTGCCGTGGTAAAGGGCTGGTGGTTTTCGTTTAAGCAGACTTGTAAACACCAGCAGTAGTAAACATTAGGCGCACCACAAAGTGCCACAGCGGACATCATGCTTAGTGTAAGTGTGCTGGATATTGGCAGTGAGAAGCAACATGAAATAACGGATAATGGGGGTTTAACCTGGAGTTTATGTGTGTAGGCAGGTGTACCTGGGTGTGTATGTGTGTTTACACCTCTCTGTGCTGAAGTTTAATTCAATCCTGCTGAGGAAACCTCTGATTAGTCATGATCAACATGAGCAAAACTTAACAATGATTCCTATTTTTCTTTTAAAGTGTGACTCTGTCTATTTTCAGCCTGGACACTGTTTCTCATCATTTAAGGACGTGCTGAAACCTGTAGTTTACTTCCCCTGCTTCCTTAAGCGAAAATCAAACAAAGATTATTCCAAATTATCCTGCACAATTATGTGTGTTTGTGTTTTTGAGAGCGCTGTTTAGTCCACAACAATCCTCAAATAACAGCATTCACACTAAGCTAAGCAAACTAGACTAAACTGGCAAACACTCCAGAGGTCATTTAAACCACACCAAACTGAACGCGAATACAGCCAGATTTTCATTTTTTCCTGACCACACTACTTTAACTTTTTTGTTGACCGCTACTTTAAACAACACTGCAGGCAAACACAGACGGACACAGTTAGGAAATTTTATTCACCACATGTCACAGAACAATCAGTGTGTTGAGAAGACATGATTTGGGTGCTTTTTCGGGGGTTGATTCACAGCTTTCCTGCATGATTGAAGAGCCAAATCCAAGCAAGCAAATATGAGTAGTTTCACACTGATGACAGTTTGGTCAGAGCTGTTGGGAAAGAGAGTCCCGGCTGTGCACACGCAGAGTGATGCTTTTAAACGCGCTTGTTTTTGAGGGAAAACTGAGTTCAGGTGGGTTTACCCTCCACTGCGTCCCTGTTCACCCGTTCTTCACTGAAAGATGTCACCTGCTCTTTCTCTGTGTATTTATTGTACATCAACACTGACATCAGAGAATTACTCTTCTCCTTCCTCTGCTGAACTCCTCTTTTAATCTCCTTCCTCCTCTATCTCTCCATTCTCTCCTCCATCCGTCTCTCCCTCCTTCGCTCTAGTAAGGGTCTAAGTAATGGGAGGCTCTTCAGAAGGTATACTCGGAAATATAGGAGGTACCTACAGTACTACCCAGCATCCTCTCTGCCCTGCCCTTGGCCCAATAACCTCTAAGAATGACTAACTAATAGCATGAAGGAGAACAAAGAGACCGAACGTTTCCTTCTTACCTCCCTCCCCAACCCTTTTTATCCCACCAAGGATTTTATCTGAGACGACCGCTGCTGCCTGCTGCCTGTCGAACGCGAACAAGACTTTACCATGTTACAAATTAAAGGGGAATTCCACCAAAACCAAAACCTTACACTGTAAAACGAGACATAGGAGACAATTTTAAAAAAAGTACTTCTTTAAGATAATGTACAGAACATTAGACATTAGAGTCAATTCTCTGGAAATGTTCTACTTTCTCAGTAAGACAGTACAGTAAGTTAAAACTCAGAGTGATACAAGGTCTAAATTCCCCTTTATTTTATATTTCTTAATCCATATTTGCCTCTCAGCCCAGCTAAAATGTCTCTGTCCTCTCTAGAAACTGTTCCTAGTCCAGCCACATGAGTATCTTTTTGTTTCACTCTCATTTTTCGTGAACAACCATCGATTCATAGCTTCATGGCACCAGAAGTTGGTTCTCTTTGAGGATGTTGTTAGAAGCTATAGTCCCATCACTTGTAAAAATAAAACGGTTCCATGACAAATTAGTAAAAAGGGATGTGAATAAAATGTCCCATTCATGAGGCTGGACCCAGTTTACCTTAAATTACCCCCAACAACACATGCTATATTTCTGCATATTTCAGCACATACATGTGCAGCTTTTCCTCATTTTACTGCATGCTCCCTGCATTACTGTTGCACTCCTCCTGTCAGTCATTTTTTGCCATCAGAGGTGGAAAGATTGATAATAGATAATTATTGGTGTTGCTAGAAGATCGATTCAGCTCCCTCCACTGTGTTTTAGAAAGAATTTGTGGCTGTTAGTGGAAACTGTACAAGATATAATATAACAGATTCAGAACAGAAAATGGCTAGAACATAGTGTTCAATGAAAATATTTAGCTCTGCTTTGCAAATTGGTGAAAATGTGTTGCCATGTGTTGTCATCTGGGAAAGTCAGGAAAATATTGGGAGAACACGGCAAATCTGTAAAAAATACTAAAACACAAAACTTCCCAAGGTCTGTAAAAGTTTTAGAATATACAAGGAAAAACCACTGCTGTTTAAGGGTTTAAAACTGAAATTCGGGTGATACAAAGGTCTGGAAAAGGTGTTAAACTGTGGCATGGAAAACGAGTTGGAACCCTGCATCTCTCTCTCTCTCTCTCTCACTGGTCTGCTGCATTGCATGCTGGTCTATTTGCCTCAGAAACAAACGGTTTACTGCAGTGGTTCTCGCTGATTGAGAACGTTCTGCATCCCCTGGAATGTTCCCAAAGATCTAGAAATTTATTTTCCATTTTTATAAACAACGATTGATTAAAATAATATTAGACTATTAAAACTGTGTGGTTTTAATAGTAATATAATAGTATTTACAGTAAGGTACACGGACTGATCTTAAAGTTACTTCACACAGCATTTTAACCATCAGTATATAATACCATGGTGTAAGTACAGTGAACATTTGAGACCAAAACAGAGGTTGTTTTGCTAAATTAAAACCACATTTCTGTTAAATCCTGTTGCTCCTGTTGATTGATATGTGAGTAATTTGCCATCACAATCTCGGAGAGATTTATCTCTTTTTACACAGGAGGAATGTTGGAAGGAACATTTTCCGAACAGAAAAAAATAAAATAAAATGTAATGATGGAAAACACCATTTTGAGGCTGTCAGAAGCTTCTCTCAATAACGTCTCATTTGTTTGAGGTCGGCTCAAAATGAATGTGAGGATGATATATTAATGTAACCACGCTTCACAAATCGCCTTTAAAAATCTCATTAGCTCTGTATTAAAATGTGAATACATGAATAGGTTACCGGCTGATCGGGTGGGGATTGCAGCACTTGAGGATCCAACACGGAGGGTTTGTTTTGGTGGCTTGGCGGACAGTCTGGCTTTGTTCTGGTGCTTTGGGCATGTCAGTTGGATGGATGATGTTTGGTCTGAAGGAAAAGACAGAACGCTGCCCTGTGTCTGCACTCTGAACTCTTCTCACTGTCTGAGGGGAAATTGGTGTTGACAGCATACCTTTTTTCTCTCTCTTCTTGTGTCTCTCTATCAACCCCAACCTCTGTCACACACTTTCTCTGTCAACTCCATCTTTCACTCACTTTTCCCCAATTCCCCTCACTTTCTCCCTCTCTGTCTCCCTGTCCATCTATCCCTGGATCATCACTGTTGATCCCTCTTCCTCCCCCCCATCCCTAAATCTGACTCTTTGCCTCTTTGAATGTTTTTCTCTCCTCTATCCTTTCTGTCCTCTTCTTCTCTCTCTCTCTCTCTCTCTCTCCACCTTTCCCTCTCTTTTTTTCTCCCCTCCCTCCCTGCAGTCAGAAGTTGAGTTTTAAGGAGCGGGTCCGCATGGCGAGTCCTCGTGGTCAGAGCATGAAGAGCAGACAGACATCCATCAACGACCGCCAACGCTGTTCCCCTGGCAACGAGGTGGTGGGCGGCGCCGAGCTGATGGGTGGGAGCCCGGCTAAAGTGCAGAAGAGCTGGAGTTTCAACGATCGGACCCGTTTCAGGCCGTCTCTGAGGCTGAAGAGCCAGACTCGCACTGCGGCCCCAGATGGTGAGCGGGACTGTGTGTGTACTGTAGGTCCGTCTAACCTTAAAGGGCAGCCAAGACAACACATGACAAATTACCTATTTTATATTTTATACAGTGTATGTAAAGTAACTTGATTTAATCTCTGAAACCTGCTGTGCAGCCAGGCTTTGTTCAAATCCACTGATATTCACTGGTATGACTTTATATTACAGGTCTGTAATTGCCTTCTAAATTCCTGTAATAATGTTTCCCAGAAAGAACCATGTAATTTGGTGCTAATCATTGGTAAAACAGCAATGGTGTTGAGTTGGTATGCTTCCAATTCAATTAACAAGCTTCTAGTCACTGCACTGTAGGTCATCGCAACATGCAAAAAAATAATTCTCTGGAAGTCGAGCACGGCATGAAACGCAGCACAGCTAACTGGAATAACTGAAATAACAGAACTTTGTCTCTATGTCTAAGTAATTAAAGTACCGGATTATATCTTAGTGGAGATCACAAAGTTTCCTAACTAGATGTCAATATGTCAGGCTGAATTTGGGAAAATATTGATGATGAAAACAATAAAAAGATAATAAGATGATGCACAAGACAATTAGAATATTTCCATTTGATGCAGTGTTTTCTGCGTTCTGAACATCATGTATTTATTTGTCATCCAGGTGGGTGTATTTTGGAAATCTCTTAACAGGCTTGAATGATAGACTTTCATGAAGCCCTTATGTACTTTAAATCATAATTCCACCATTCGTACTCTACAGAAACAGATGAAATTGCTGACTGTTTTAATGGCACCTCTGTTTCTCCCCTAATTCCTCGGTATCATTAATTTCAACACATTTTATAACCTCAAATCATTATTCACCCTCTTTCCATTTTCTCCTTGCTTTTCTCTAACTCTTTCTCCTTTTCTGTGTCTGTCTCTCTGTCTGTGTCTCCCACTCTCGTAATTGTTGGCAGCATTAAGGATATACTGTATATATCCTTTTCTCTCGCCTCGCATAGCTGAGTTGGCAAAACGCAGACCATTCCTAAAGATCCCATCCAAGCGAGGCATAAATTTTCACCTCTTAAAAGCCAAAATAGTATCAGTTTGAAACATTCTTGGAGACTCCTGTCAAGAGCCGCTATGCAGAAAGTGTTTTATGAATTTTAAGACTGGAAATGATTTTGCACGGCGCTACATTTATTGATGAAATGGCGGTCTGTCTCTCTCAGTGGACACAGGCATGACTACGGAGGATTCCTTTGATGAAAGGGGCTGCCATTGCGATGTTACAGTGGAGGATCTATCGGCTCCCCTCAAGGCTGTCATCAGAGCGGTCAGGTGAGCTCCTACTGCTGTTAGACTTTATATTTCAGGTCTTTTAGCCGATGCTTCCAACCAAAGCATCTTTAAATCACCACAGTCCTAGAAACGTTTCAAGAACTCCGAGGGGGAGTCACTCTTTAAACTTTTAACCAACAGCTATATCATCTTCTGCAGTTACATTAGGACTTTTATTCTGTCAACCACATCCACTCAAGTCGGATTTTCCACAGCTACTGTTTCCATTTGTTTCCTCCTTCTTTACAAGAAATAGTTTATTTTGAAGAAATATTAAAACAGGAGGAAACAGCTACCAGAGTATTTCTGGTCTGAGAGCAGCGACTTCCTGGAGTCTCCGCTGGGTGCCTGGCAACCTCATGGTGATGACAAGACTCCAGAAAGATATTACCCCAGGCTAAGAGATAGTCTGGCCCTGACCTGTTTCCTCCACCTGGAATCTGATGATCTATTGATTAGCTATGTGTGTTTGATGGTTTATTGGACTCAGTGGTATTACCGATCGACAGGATGGTAATGCCATTGAAGCCCTCCTGCTTCTCAGACTGACGGTGTTATTTATTTCTATTTACTTTGTGGCTTCTTGGAACTGATAAAGGGCATCCTATTGATCAATCACATAATTTAAACTCTTCCCTCAGGACTTTTTTTTTTCTCACACCTGTGTCCATAGATTCTGAAACCACACTGACAGCTCACTGAACTCAGGGGTCAACTGGTGATGTCACTGGTTGATGACCTTATAAGTAGTGCAATTGTTTCCTGAAGTTGAGCCCTTGCTGAAGTCAGGTCAAGTTTCCTATTGATTGATTGGCCATCTGTCTTTATGATCTGTATCTATTGATCAAAATGAGACTATAACTATATAAACTCAACCGCTCTGTGAAAATGTCACCAACTAACACAAGGATACACTACTACAGTGTAAGGAGCCAATAAGCTTCTATATGTACATGTACACCTGTGTTTTGTATTTTGGTTTCATACACACAAACGAGTAAATAAATCAGGTGAGGTAATAGTACTAATACTGGTGCTAGTAATCCAAATATATGTCTGTTGAAGAAGGTTATAAACATAATCCATAATGTAACACAAACAACACAGACCCCTGTCCTTCTTCCCCCCATGTCTACATGTAACTCTGGACGAGACAAACATACATGCCACCACGAGTGCTGCGGCTCACATGATGTTTGGTTTCCTCAAGCGATACTTTTTTAAAAATGTATTTCTCTATTTTTCTTCTCTTTTTCCTCCATCCCTCTGTCTTTATCTATATGACCTGCTGCTGGGTTGGAGGGGTTTTTCAGAGAGGGGTACAACAGAGTTTTTTGTTTTGTTTGTGTGAGTGTGTGTGTGTGTGTGTGTGTGTGTGTGTGTGTGTGTGTGTGTGTGTGTGTGTGTGTGTGTGTGTGTGTGTGTGTGTGTGTGTGTGTGAGTGAGTGAATGAATGACTATGGGTGTGTGTATGTGTTTCAGCAGAAACCTTCTGTCTTACACCGGCACCCTGTGAGCGAATGTTTTTCCGACTGGGGCCGACTGTTCCTCTGAATCCACTGCCTCTTCTCACCCTCTTCATATTCTTCATTGTCTTACAGGTTGTTTAGAAAAATTAAGCTCTGGTTCAAATATTTTCTATCATTTTCTAAAGAGACATGTCAGATGTTTTGTGAATTCTTCTCCTTATCGCGGTGAAAAGGCCTTTTTTCAACCAATGAAGCTGTTTGTGGTTTTCAGCTTTGAAGGCAGGGTGACAATGAGTCATAACTGTAGCTACATACCTGACGCCTCTGACATGTTTTCCTCATAAATGTGGTTTGAAACGGTAATACAAGATGAAAGTCCAAGCCAGGGTCGTTAGGATTTGCAGTTCGTTACCAACTAATCCTCCTCTGTCAGTTTCTGAGTCTGTCTGTAAACAAATATTTTGTATCTCACCAATCATCTAAAATGTTTCCTCCTGTATTACTCACTCCAGCCACACTTTTTTAATCTCTCTCTCTTCATTTTTTCCCTCCTTTTACCGTTAAATCATTCATCATACATGTATATCACTCAAGCTTGAGTTTGGGCATGTTTACTCAACATAGGCTGTTAAAGAGATTAATATAAGGAGTATGTATTTACATTTTTTTTGACAATATTATCAACACACATACAGATGCTGTCCATATGGACCACAAAATCTTTTCTATAAATAAGTTGTCTCATCTGCACAATTAGAGCAAGCAACGTACATGTGCACATCTGTTACTAAGATGTACATTTTTTCACACACTGAGCCTTTATGAATTCGTATTTCTAATTATCTTCAATAATGTTATTTGCTGTAATTCATCAGTATTCATCAGTCATCCTGTGATAACTTTCTTGACACCCATAGTGTACAGGTGGGGGTACCATCTGACCCCCACCTGTACACTATGGGTGTCAGGTGGGTATAACACAGTGTGTGTCACATCCATCTTTCTCCAAATCAGATTCGTAGTTTTTTTTTTTTTTACCATTGTAACAGAGTGTAGAAGTTATGTAACAATGTCCAGTGGAGTCTTTTTTGAATCTTTGACTCTTGACACAAGTCAAATCGCATTTTGTTTGTTTTTTTTTTGCAATGTCCCCATTTGCAGGTTTGAAAAATTCATCATGTAGAGCGCGCACACACACACACACACACACACACACACAAACACATGCGCACACACAGCACCTCTACCAGCCAACTCCAGCCACCCTGCCCACCCAGCAGGCCTCCTCCATGGGTAGCCGCAGCCCAGTGCTTTCCCAGGGTGTCAGGTTGAGCATTGGACACCCCCTCCCCTGTCAGGACTGTTATTACAGAGGGTCAACTGTCACCATTGTTTCCATTTAGACAGTGAGAAAAACAGGCAACTGGAGACAAGCAGAAGCCATCGGGGAATCTAAATGAATCAAGAGCATAGATCCCCTTACCTGTATCAATATTATTCACTCAGCAGTGGGTCTGCTCATCAAATACAGGCAGATAGAGGATTACACTTCAAAGTCATTCATTTTAGTTGTTGTGGATTTGACAAGAGGACCAGGGAGCTTTGGTTTCCTATTAGATACTCCTTGAGGTATTTGAGATTTTAATAATATTTTTTAATTACACAGCATAAGAAAAATTTGAAATAAAGCGAGGATCATTCTGTGGATTTCTCATAGATTCTGCTGCCATCTAGTGGTTAGTGGTAGTAGTTACACCCTTTTCCAAGTACGTCATTCCTTAGGTCTCTTGGTGTTACAATTCTCTGAACTGTGTGTGTGTGTGTGTCTGTGTGTGTCTGTGTGTCTGTGTGTGTCTGTCTGTCTAGGATCATGAAGTTCCACGTGGCAAAGAAGAAGTTTAAGGAGACGTTGCGTCCATACGATGTGAAGGACGTCATAGAGCAGTACTCGGCAGGACATTTGGACATGCTCTGTCGCATCAAGAGCCTTCAGACCAGGTCAGGACACACTGGAAGCACGCACACACACACACACACACACACACACACACACACACACACACACACACACACACACGCACTAGACACACACTCAATGCAAGTCTCAAAGAGCTGGTTTGTCTTCCTGCATTAAAAATCATTATTCTCTACATATTTAGGCCTTGTTCACAGGGTTCTGAGTTCGCCTTTCTTCCTGCTGTCTGATATGTTTCCATAAATGTTGCTGCAGCTCCTGTTAGTTCTATAGAGGTTATAGATAATTCATAGATAATCCTTTTAAATAAAGATTTTCCATTTTCCACCTTCATCTCACCTCCAACTACTGTATGTCTTTCTTACCAAGAGTGTGTGTATGTACAGTATGTGTACATGTGTGTCCCCTCTCTCTCCCAGACTAGACACTGTAGTGGGTCCCCCTCCAAGGCCTTTCAGCAGTCGCGTCAAGACCTTTTCCTCTCCCTCCCTGCATTTATATTACAGCCAGGCCCGGAGGAAACAGTCTGCACCGGGGTTAGACCTGCCCTGTCACCTGCCTGCCGACTGCTCCCCTACTAACTTCACAAAACTGTCGTACTTGGGTCAAACAGCGTGCATTCACCTACCTTTGGATATATCGAGAAAAAAAAAAAAAAAGAAGCTTGTAGCTGCTTGTAAATAATACATTTGCACAGAGGATGATTTATAGATTAACCATGATGAAATGTTAAACATGAACTCAACATTGTGCCGACAATCAAGCTGCTGTGTAAACTTTTTCACACGTGCTTTTCAGGCATCAAACGTACGCCTTCATATGCCTTCCCATTTGCTTCAGTCTGCATGTATTCCCAGACAGGTGGGGTTTACTGAAAGTGAGACTGTATAATTTTGCCAGAAAGGCCTCCACCTACAAGTGCTATTTGACCCAAGTCTGGCTGTGGTTTAATTCTTCAAAACATGCTTCAGCTCTATCGCAGAGGTCGTTGGGCAGCTCAAACATTGGATTATGAACTTAGTTTTACAAAGTTCATGATACAGATGTGACATGATGGGTAGAAAGTATCTGGCTGTGTTGGTCTGGGACCCACCTGTCAATACTTGTAATTCATGTTTTTCATTTCACTTTTCCAACAAGGGAAATGCTCCTTTAATTAAGCCTTTTGTGGTTTTCTTATTTGGGTATGAGGGTATGAAAAGTGCTGTACAGTGTTTAAAATGTGATAATCCTGATTTGAGCCACTTGAAGACCTCATGTAGAGTTTGATGTGTAAGTGTCTACAGACATAACAAGAGCTACTCATTGCTATTTTTACATTATAGCTGCATTTCATCATCTTTTAAAAGCCCCAGTTGAGAAATTTAATAATTTGACTTGTTTATTCAAATTAGATTTTTGTCATCTTTTGTAACTCATGATGGAAAAACAATATTTTTCTTTACTTCAGGCTGTGTCACATATAGAAGCTTTAGTTTTGGCATTTCATTTGACAATGAAAAAAAATTACAGGCAAAACTAGACAGCAGGGGGCGCTACAATGCAGTGATGGACTGAGACTTTGTAAGAGGAAGTCTGTTTTTATGTCTTGGCATAGACTGATATGGTGTTTCGTAATGAACTGCAGTTCTGTAGATGATGTTTTTCACAGTAGTAACATAGTGCTTGTTTTCTGTATCTGTGTGTATGTATGGAGTGTGTCCGTTGGCTGTAGATACACACAGACCACCGGAGTGCTGCGGTGTACATCTACTGCATCTCTAGACTTTGTCTTTACATAGGAGGTTTTCACAGTTTTGCTCTGTGGATGATAGAACAGCAGATGTAGACCTAATGTCATGACAAGAAAAGTGCAAAAATTGAAGCATGTTTTCATCAAATGATGTCAATCCAATTAAAACTATTGATGATTACTAATAATCACTGGCCATTAATGACAATCTAAAAATATGACTATCAATATTCACCTTCAAAAACCCACATCCAGCCCACTTTTTCATCTCTTCCGTCCTCTCTGTGTATATCTATATGCCAGTTGTTATTTATTGTCAGTGAGTGGGTGACTGATTTGTTCATTTGTCCACCTGTACGTCAAACCTCAATGTGTGAAAGAGAGATGTATCTGACCGAGTATTTCTCCTGTCTTCAGACAGGCCAGTGCAGCGGGCTCTGGTCCCGGCCTGAGTAGCCGACCCAGGAACATGTCCTCTCCTGCCCTGCATTATTATTACAGCAACAACAGGAAGAAGCTCCCTGGCTCGGGGTTACTGTCATTTCACTTCATTTGAGTTTTGCCCACAGTATAATCACATTAGTTCCCTCTGTGGTGACCATTAGTTTCCTTGCAGTCCTGTGAATGGTTTGACTGACTGTGAAATGTAACAATGTAACCTAGCAACTCATTAGGATTAACTTTTCTTACAGTACCAGAAGGGTGGAGTTTGCACGAGATCATGCAGTGAGTCCTAGAAGGTTAAGACAATCACACAAAATAGATACTGAAAGTGAACGGCTTATTAAAGTGAAATGCACGTTACTACAGTTTATACAAAATTGCATTATTCCAATGTGTTAAACTCCACCCACTTGGTAAGTTTTTAATTAACCCTGTCTGACACATAAAAACATTTTTTATTTAATGCAAATGTATAATAATGTGTATACACGCAGACAAACACACCGTCGCTACATTAGGTCTCATGCAGTTCCATAAAGGGGAAGGATTATTGTGTGGGAGTGTTGACTTATGTGTGCAATTATGGCTGTGTAATTAATTCATGTAGTTTGAAGCAGAGAGAACAAAGTAATCAGTGTGGTATATTTGCATGCTGAGGTGTACAATCATTAACTTTACTAATTCAATATTATTATAATGCCAAAGAACAAGGAGGGTGATCTGATCAATGCTCTGACATTAAAAAGGCCGGCTACAGGTTCACTGGTAATTTGAATGGAGCACTGCATTTTTCATTTCACTTGATTTTCCAAATGGAAAATGTTTTTGTTTCCCTCTTTCATTTTGTTTTTTTATTTATTTTTTTTTAATCTTGCTGAAATGAGACTGGGACTGTCACATACAGTTCATCAACATATGCGTGTTATTTCAGGGGATTATCCTGTATGTGCTGCGAACATTTTCTGGTCTGATGCATTTATTTAAATCGAAAAAGGCCTTTTCAAGATTACCTATAACAGTAACAATATGGTCTTTGGTGTGAATGCACTGTATTATAAAGCTAATTTTGAAATGTAGTGCTCAGAAATAATTTTCACTCTTACTCCCGTTCCTTATACTTTTGGAAATGTGGTTTTCACATGTGATTTTTTTCACCCTTCAAGTTCAAGAGCCCATGAAACCCATGCAAACTACATACTGTGTGAAATCTAATCTGAAAATGTAGTTTTTCTTTCGTCCTGAAATCTGACATGTTGGAGATACAGGGTTTTCAAATAACAGCACTGATACAGCCAGGCCATGTGTGCTGTGTGTTTTACTAACTCTCATCTTAACATCCTCATGTTGCTTTAGGTGTGTTGCCTGACTTGGGATCTGACTTGGGATAACCTGAAATGAAGCTCGGGTGCCTACTCATATTACAACGTCATCATTTTCTAATACTTTAACACAAGTGTGTCTGTGTGTGTGCGTGTATCAGGGTGGATCAGATCCTGGGAAAAGGCCAGATACCTGTGGATAAAAAGATGAGGGACAAACTGCACCCAGATGGAGACTCTCTGGAGGGCATGAGCATGCTGGGACGTGTATGTAAGGTGGAGAGACAGGTGAGTTTAGAAAAACAAATCAGAAAAGGGAAAAACTACATCAGCACTAAGCTTTAAAAATGGATTTGGAAGATTTTATTACCCTATAATATTAATGATATATCTGCAAAGGGCTGATGCAAAGGTTGGTTGATCAATAACAGTGACTCAGGAATTATTTTGCCAGGTACTGACTTGTCTGGCTCTTAAAAGTCAACTTTCCAGTCTGACATCTGCTTTGGAAACAACTGCCAGAGATCTGTCAATGTTACTGGAAAATTCCATGTTTGAAGATAGAGGTCAATAAAAATGCTCAGTGGCCCTTTATGCTTCACTCTCTTGCTTGCTCTCTCTCTTTGCCTGCCTCCATGTTCTCACTCTGTGACCCTTTGCTTTTGCCCCCAGGTAACGTCCATCGAGTCAAAGCTGGACTCGTTGCTGGACGTTTATCGCCAAGTTCTGCAGAAAGGCTCGTCGGCTCTCACTCTCTCCTCCCTGCCTCTGTTTGAGCTGGACAGCCAACGGCATCGCAGCTCGGACTACCAGACCTCCATCATTGGCAGGGATCTCCCCTCGCCCCAGGGAGGTGATCCGGTTCGAGGCGGAGGAGATAACAGCGGGGGCTTACGCCGCTCGCTTAGTGCCAACCCCAAAGGCCTGCGGCTCATCCTGGCACCCGCTGATGACGATGGTCCCCCAGACTCAGCACCTCCCTCTTACCCCCCGTCCACAGCCTCACTCTCCCCATCACCCCTGCTACCACCCGATAGCCCCTACCCAACCTTGGTCACCCCCAATGGCACCTCTAAAAGAGCACACTTCCCTGACCTGCCACCCCCACCTCCCTCAACTGGGGGTTTCACCCTCCAGCTACCGCCCATGGTGCACCCCTCCCACCTCCGATGCCCCGCTGACTCCGTCCCAGATGATCTGACGGATGGAGTGACAGCAGACAAAAAGAGCCTGGGCCCCTCTGTCGTGGGATCCAGTGTGAATGCTGACCAGGAAGGGGACAGTGAGGCAGGCTCTGTCCAGGGAGGGGTTCAGCTGCGGGAGAAGCCTGCCTTGAAATCTGAGGGGGTCTGGAGGAGGCACATGAGCCTGGAGGTTAACCCCCTGCTGCTGCTTTCATCTAGCCCAGACGAGAGACCTTCAGACTGGGAAGGCGGTCTCGGGAAATCCCTCTCCGTGCACAATCTCAGCCAGCCTTTGACCAGCCGTGCCCCTGGTCTCAACAACAACAACAGCAGCAGCAACGGTAGCGAACGTGGCAATGCCCACGGTGACCTTAGCAACTGGGACGGAACAGAACTCTTCATTAGTGAGTGCAAGCTAGAGCCAGCGGAAGAACATTTCAACTTCCTGTCCCAGGGACCTGACAGCAGCCCCTCCGACCTTTTACAGACTGTGGACGAGGCGACCTCTGGACCTAAGGGAAACTCCGAGTTTCTCAGTCAGTCCCCACACATACAGCTGGCATAACTACACACACACACACACACACACTGACACACACTCTCGCATACTGTATGTACACACCATTGTTGGGGAAGCCAATTTTAAAGTATTTTTAAAGGACACTAAACGGATTATGTTTCAAATTGTACGATTTAATTCTTTGTATGCGGACAAACAGTGTTTTTATATTTTGTCAAACATGATTATGTCCACTTTCATACATGCTTTACACTTTTTATGGGCTTCGAAAAAAGAAAAGACATCAAATGTATAAGGATGTATAAAATATGTATGCAAGTGGCCAAATTCATGTAAGACAAAATACACAAACAATACACAAATGCAAATAACCTTCCTTTAAGAGAAATAGATTTGCCCTTTTTCTAACGATGTGGAGAAAGGGTAATTTTATTAATTTTATACAAACAAGTTGATGTTTTTCATATTCAAGCTCATGCGATACAAAAAAAGGATGCTGATAAATAGATAAAAAATTGAGTTTTATTTTAGATGAAGAACAAGGAGGGAATGTTTGACACCTGCCTACTAGACATTAGAGTGTAGACGCAAATCAGATAATTTGGTTCATCACAAGAAGAGCTGTGAGCTAGTGACCTAGTTTGGGCTCATCACTGAAAGAAGCAGGAGTCTTAACTTTTCATTGTAGAAATTAAAGGATATATAATCTGATTTGTGCTGACACTGACAATTAAACAAATAAAAACAGTAGAAAATACTATATAATGCTATCACAGCCGAAACTGGTTAAGTCACAAAAATCAAAAGTATAGCTGACACTTGATTAAGCCACTGCTAAATTATAGGTCAACCACTTCTTTCTTGATGTGGTGAAACCAGTGCAGAGCAGGTACATGCACGCACACACACACCCACACTCTTTCACACACACAAATACACACAAATGACACACATGACCACCGACCACAGAGTTATCTGAGAGGAGCCAACTTGATAAAGAGCTGAGACTGACTTTTTCACTTATTTTTTTCATACAAGTGCTTGTGTCCAGAGACTTTCTTGGAAGAAAAGGAGAGTCGCTCACTCTCCGTAGTCAATGTCTGTCTTTGGCAAATGTAAAATGTCATCCTTCACTTATGCTTTCATACATATCACTGCATGGACTGTTTCTGAACAAACGAATGAAAGGAGAATAATGTTGATTAGGTGAGGCCTGGTGTAATGGGAATAGCTGAATTATATAAAAGAGTTAAAGGTCAGACCCTTAGCATGTGTTCAGACTACAAGCATCTCATTCTGTTCATTTCCTGCAGCCACAGAAATGTTAGTCGATGTTTATATGGTTGCTGTGTGTCATCTGTCGGCAGGTTGTCAGTAAATTTGGATGCAGCAAGCCTATTGGGAAAATGGCCTATCAGCAGTCACTCAAGACAAGTGTTGGACCGTGTCCCACTCTGTTTGGACGGTATCCTAGTGAGGTAGTTGCTAATGGTCTGAATGCTGAATTGCAATAGGATTATTGAGTGGGCTTTCTCAGCCAAGCATGAGATGCTGCATGTCTAAGCTGCTGCAATACTTAAATCAAGAGCAGTCACACTCTCGCTGGGGGCCTGGATGCCCTTTTGCATGTTAAAGTAATGTTTCCTCCAAACTTTGAACACAAAGGTACAAACAAAGTCTGCCTATATGAACATTATTATATTCTAATTTGAACTAATTTCATAGTAGTTACAAACCTGTGCTGCTAATTATATGGATAACCCACTTACTATTAATTGTTATAATGCACAAGGCCATTTAATGTTTGTTTTTTGACAATCCCTACCTTTTTACTGGGTGCTGGTTGCATCATGCATCAAGGCTGCTGAACTGACCTTATTCCCTCCTCCCACTCCGGTGTAGTCTGGTGTTACAGGGCAAAATGTGCAGTGCACAGACTCCATTTTTAACACAGCAGGTCAGTTTCACCTGAGGAACCCGTGATAACAATACACCATGTCCCACGGTGTCCCAAAATGCAGTGCTGTTGATCTAGTATGCATATGTTACTTTATCCATGTGCCCATTCTGCTGCTAACAATGTCAGAAAATGTGATATATTCACATAATAAAAGAGAGAATGAGACGAGAAAAGTCCTCAGTGATATTCTCTGTGACCTCAGCAGTTTCAGCATTCAGCTGAAAAGTTGAATGCTGTTATCCAGAGCAACATTGGCAGGAGAAAAACTGGATGAACTAAAATCTGACCTGAGACTGAGAGTACAATTTGGCTGTTTTATGGCCTCATGCCCCCCAAAACTGTATGTATAATTTCACAGGATTTTTGTTTTTGAATGTGCATGCACTTCCTCCTCACCACATCAATCATAATTTCAATATTTAACCATAAAGGGTTTTTTCTTAAATAAGTTTAAAAATAACTGTGGCCACATTTATATTTTGGTTGCATTTCGCCCATATTCATCTAGAGAAGTTACGTTTTCACTGGCCAATTAATGAAAAATGGTGTGCTGCAGGTGTCTTATATGACACTGCCCTAACACTACACTTAACAGGAGCATTGTTTTCATTGCTATCCTGCTTGTAGATGGGTTGACTGTTCTTGAATGAGAATTATGCACAAAAATATGGCAGCCATCTTAATTTTTGTCAGCCATTTCAATTTGTTTTTGCACGTTTACGTCTTAAGGGATACGTAGTCACAGCTGTCTTAAAAATGTTTTTTAATGTGTTAATGACAAACTTTATTCATCATTATTTTCAGTTATATTCCCTTTGTTTTGAATGGTGAGTAAGTGCATTGCTTAGCAAATTAATGTTCTGTAGTAGAATATAACAAGTATTATCTTCTAACAAATGACAATTGTAAACACTTGTAGGTTGATTTTGAAATACTCTACAGCCCATGCAGGAGTTTTTCTGGTATAATATATTATCAACATGAAAGCACAGTTGTTTTTAGTGAGTTTGAGGAGCCTGAAAATGTGACATGGTAGTTTAATGCTTATTATTGGATAGATTTGTTGCAGTTCTTGAGTTTTGCTGCATGTGAGAAGAGGCCAACCAAAACTGTCATTTACTTTGGAGCAAGATCGAACAATAATGAGGAGAGCCCATGGACCAGTAGCCAGTTGGGAAATTGGATGGATTATTCCTCATATAAAACATGCTCATTTTTGCAATCTGTAAATTGCTTAAGGGTGCCTTTCTTGCAAATGAAAATTATTTTATTTTTTCTCCACAGGGCTACAAAGGTCTAGTTTGCCTACAGCCTATGGCATACTGTATAGCCGAAGTCAGACTGCTCATTTTGAGGTGGGCGTCCAGTTCACTTAAGTCATGTAGCTTCAGCCACAGACTTTATATGGCTTTGATGGCTAACAATACCATTTCTCTACTGCTTGAACAGTAATTTATTACACAACTGGCCTTAAAGCTTGATAATGTTAACATTATTATTTCTTTGAAATTAATTTATTAAAGTGCACATTATGTTCTCTGGATGAGAAATGCAAAAATAATTTTATTATTCATTAATAAAGTACGAATTAACTAAAATGTTTTGGATTTTGTGTCTTCTTTAGTAAGCAAACTCATCAAGCAAGTAAAAGTTAGCATGGCTAAAAAGTCACAATGTCATGTTGCCTTTGGGGAATGAGGATTTTATATTTTCAGGATGGTGGCTAACAGTGTAAAGACTATTGTGCAGGGGCGGAGCCAGACATTGTAAACATTTGGGGCTTAACCCCAACTTCACTCTATATTCAGTGGACATGCTCCCCTGGGGATTTTTTGCCCCCATTCACAGCAGCTGCATGCACTATTGACTGTATGAAGCCATTTGTACGCTGTGAGAGTGAATGGTTGTCTGTCTCTGTGTGTTTGCCCTGCGATGGACTGCGACCTGTCCAGGGTGTACCCGCCGCCTTCGCCCAAAAGATGCTGGGATAGGCTCCAGCCCCCCGCGATCCTACTAGAGGATAAGCGGTAGAAAATGAATGAATGAAAGCCATTTGTACATCATTTGGGGAAATGCCCCCCCCCCCCGCCCTTTCACCCCCGCACCCCACACCAAAAAAAAATCATCCAGAGCCTGCATCATATTTTAGATCTAATTGTTCTCTGTCTCCATCATTCTGAAACCACAACACAACACATTTTGACAATGATTCATTTTCACTACTGCCACATAAAAAGAGTTACTATTTTGAATTAACATGACATAGGTGGGGAATGAATTTAACTTAAACAGCATCACTAATCTTGACACCTATTTATGTTGCACTATGCTGGTTCACAGATTTAATGTTTAGATGACAAATCTGCATTTAAATCCAGACCATAATAATATGTACTGCTCTAACTGAGCAGATGTGGATCCACAAGAAGGCCAAGTAAATGTCTTCAATATTAGGCCAACAGAAAAACATTTACTCAATAATATGTCATTTCTTTAAGGAATAGCATCATAGCATAAACAACATGGACATGCACTGTAATATTATCATATAGTATTTTATTTGATCTACACAAGATCCCTCTGTTCTCCTTTCCTTCTCTTGTCTTCTTCTCTCACTCTCTCAGCTCCATTCATCTGTCTCTGGAAATGTCCTCCACTCAAAGAAAATATAAAACAAAAAGAGTCTTAACATTTCTGATTATAAACTGATGATTTAAAAATATTAAATGCATATCTTATTCTCTTAGGAATGTTCACAGCAAGAGTGAGTGACATCACACAGAGTGAGGAGAAGCTGTTCAACTGCTCTGAAAGATTTGACACAAAGTTTACAATAACACTAAATGCGGCATATCACAGTGCATCTTTGTGTGATTTATGCCCCGGTAAAACGAGCCGCTACCACTGCCCCACACAGACAAACAAGTGACAAGGAAGTGACGTCTTAACTGATGACCTGCCTTGATGAGAGGTCTGACAGATTGCATTTTCATTTTCATTTTGACCCCAAAAGAGCGTAGCGACATGTAAATGTAAATGCAATGGACTGTGGGCTCTGTTTGTGTATTGTATGTGAATATTGTCA